CTAGAAGCATCATTCTAGCACTCACGAAGAGGTACCTTCACATCCTGTGGTTCTTTGGCTGGGTTCCATGAGGCGGGATGCTGCTGCCCCCAGTGTGGGTTTTGCTTGCTGTCCCTTGCACTCGGTGACCATGCGTGGCCATGTTTGAGGCGGCAAGAAAAACCCCGATGAATATTAAAGGCTGTCAGGTCAAAGTCAGCTCCCTGAGCCTCTTCTCCACGGGAATCCAAGCAGGGCAGCGTGGCTAGAGGAGTGGGGCGTAGCGGAGGGGGTGAGGCCAGAGTCAGGCCAGTGGACTTGCAGGGCATTGCTAGCTCATGGAACCCAAAACCACCAACAGTAGGCCCCGAGGAAATACCTGGCGAATGAGTGAGTGAGGCCACATAGTGTGCAGCAGGGACAGAGAAGGCAGGCTTACTCTCCAGGGGAGTCCAGGAGTCTGGGGAGAGGTTTGTGCAAAGACTTAAAGGCTGGAAGGCGTTTGCTGGGCTCAGAGACGATGGTGGGTATTTCAGAGAGAAGGGCTTAGTGCTTAAGTTGGGAAAGGCCCTGAACTTAGGCAGCCATGTCTTATGGAGAGAATTCGAAATAGTTCCCATCACTAGAGTATGAAGCGTGAGTCGGGTACAGGTGACGAGGCTGAACAGAAGGGCTGGAAGACCATGGGTATCTTCTGCAAAGGCATTTAGGATTACCTCATTGTTTTCAAAGTGTGGGTCGCTGACCTTTGGGAGGTCCTGCAGTTAATCAGCAATCCAGAGCACCACTTTTTTTTTTTTTTTTTTTTGGGGGGGGGGGGTTTTTGCTTTAGGGGGCATCCACTCCCACGAAGGGACAGACAGACAGAAAGTGAGAAATCACCCCCCAGGGGGGATGGCCACCCCGCTATCCCTTCTCCTCCATTCTCCTTGGGATCCTGGGCACACACACACATGTGCCTGGCGTGAATTTAAGCCCAGCCACCGGGTCTGGGTCTTGAATTGCGGTCGGCCACATGGAAGTCCAGTGACATAGCCATTGCACCAACTGCTGGTCCCCAGATTACCACTTTTTAAATAAGGAGATACATCAGACTAGAAAATATCTGTCCCAGATGACATTGTTTATAGTTCTGCTATGTCTAACTTAGAGACTGTGTGTGTGTGTGTGTGTGTGTGTGTGTGTCTGTGTGTGTTGCATGTGCATACGTGCGTATGGGGTTGCAGTGTAAAATGTGTCTTGGTGCTCGGGTTAGCATGGGGGAAAAACATTTTGAGTGCCGCTCTGGTGAGTGTCGGGAGCCATTGATCAGTGTTGGGGGAGTGTCACTCTGATGTCAGTGTAGAGAGACACCTGATGCTGTGTCCGGAGGACACGTGGGAAGACAGGGCAGTGGGTACAGTGGTCGCAGGGGCATGGGTGGGAGGAAGGCTTACAGTGGGCTTGACCGATGGGGAGGGGGCGGGCCCTAGGCTGCGTGGGACCCAGTGAGGTGGCCGGGCCCTGTGGGCTCAACAGGTCGGAAGCGAGTGCCAGCCTTGGCTGTAGCTGCTAGGATTCAACCACGCCGTAGGATAACTGCTTACTTACACCTTTTCTGAGCCACCTCTTGGCCACCTGGAATGAACTTTGTCTCGGGAGAAAAGCTGCTTGGATTCAATATTTTGATAACAAGGCTGAGTGCAGGTCTCATTCTCTGGAATCATCATCCCAGAGGCGGGCCCTGTTAGTCACCGTCTGCCCCCAGCCTGGCCAGCAGCCCATCCTGTGCCTGCTCTGTGGCTCCTGGTGTCACTGCCTTGGAGAAGCACAGGCCTGTCACTTTAAATCCGACTCTTCCCCTCCCCTGGCATCTGGATCCCCTTCTGTCTGCTTGCCCGGTCTTTCTTTAAGGCAGGAAAAACATTAAATGTTGCAAGTGGTCATCTCTGGGGGAAGGGGAAGGGCTATAGGGTGCCTTTTACCTTTTGTGCTTTTCTTCACTTTCTAAGTTTTCATGAGGAAACATACATTACTTAAAACGTGTACGTGTAGCTGTCTATTCCTAGTTATCTTTTTCTTTACCGGGGGAGGAAGAAGGACAGAGACCATGCAGGAATCCTTGATGGGACCTCGCAGAGTCGTCACCCTCCTGCCTGGCCTCCACACCAGCGCGATCCCAGGAGCATGTGCTGGTGTGCTCAGCCGGCCTCGGGACCAGACCTAGGCTCCTCTGTGGCTTCCAGCCTCTCAGGTTGCGGGACTTCCTGCATGCCACCCTGACTGGGCCAAGATGTACATACATATATATGTATGTTTAATTATAAGCGAATACATGTTTTACACAGTTTTAAAGAATTTTTAAAAAAATTTTCTAAATTTTTTTAGGTTTTTGTCATAGGGCTTGTGGGCTCACCAGAGAGAGACAGTGAGAGAGAAAGGGGAAGATAGCCACACCAGGGAGGATGGCTACACCACATCCCTTCTCCCTCACGCTCCTCCTGGGATTTTAGACACACACACACACACACACACACACACACACACACGGCTAGCATGATTTTCAAGCTGTCAGGTCCAGGACTCAAACCACATTGGTCATATGGAAGTCCAGTGACTTAACCACTATGCCACTTGTCGGTGCCTGTTTTACACAATTCTAAAGTATACAACAATTTGTTAAGCACAATGGGAACACACCTAGTAATCTCAGTCCCCAGAAAGAATTACCGTTAGTATATTGGAGAGGTTTTTTTGAAATGCTTATAATGGCCCATGCAGTCACCTGTAACTTATAACTATATTCTGCAGGTCTATAACTTGTGCTTTCCCCTTTGGCAGAGCGTAGATAGCCTGTTTTTGTTAGTGTTGTTGTTGTTGTTTGTTTAGTTTGCTTTGGCATAGGTACATGCACTTGCTAGAGAGACAGAGAGAGAGGGTAAGAGATCACTCTGTGGGCGGGGTGGCCATGTCACATGTCACAGTCACTTCTCTGCCTTTCTCCCCAGGACTTTGGGCATGCACATATCTGCACCCAGCATGTTTTTCAAGCCTCCAAATCCAGGACTTGAACAGTGCCCTAAGCCATGTGGGACCCAGCTGCCTTAACCACCACACCACCTGGTGGCCCTCGACAGCCTCTTGCCAGTTGCACATGAAAAAAACAACACGTGAAACTGCAGGGGGCTGGAGGGTGACTCGACGAGAAGGCGAGCGGGTGTAGCGATGATGGGTGAGTCTGTGGCAGGCCGCCGACTCGCGCCTCTCGTCCGGGCAGGCCGCTGGTACTGAGTCAGTCAGTGAGAAGAAAATGTGGGCTCTCTTTGTTGGAGCTCTCGGTGTCCCGAGCTGGCAGTCTGGAATTGCCTTGTCGGGTTTTTGCAGTTTTTCCATACGTCCCACAGTCTGTCTGCTTGTGGCCAGTGGCTCACCAGCTCACCGTGACAGACAAACCTCACTCTATTCCAGTAACTTTTAAAAAAGCATGGCCTCCTCTTCAATATTTTTCCCGTTTACTCATACTTGAAGTAGGAGTGTTCTTTTTCCTTTTCTTCCCCCCCCCGCCCCCCCAGGTTTTTGTCATAGGGTGCGTGCACTCACCAGAAAGGAAAGAGACAGAGAGAGGGAAAATGGAAATCTCCCCTGCAGAGCTGGCTGACACCCTGTCTCTGGTCTGGAGTGAAACAGTAGGTTGGTCTGTCAAAGGCCTGGCCCTGCCAGTTCTGTGAGATGTTAGCAGTGTCAGAGCTCCTCCAGGGCTTTGTCACTCGGGACTGTTCACTCTTTTTCTTTTTTGGGGGAGAGGTTTTTGCTACAGGGCACATGTGCTCACCAGAAAGACAGAGAGACAGAGAGACAGAAAATAAGAAATAACCCCCCAGAGGGATGGCCACACTGCAATCCCTACTCCTCCATTCTCCTCTTGGAATCTTGGGCACACACGCACACGCGCCCAGCGTGAGTTTAAGCCACCAGGTCTCGTGGTCGACTACAGGGGAGTCCAGCGACATAGCCGTTATGCCATCTGCTGGTCCCACACTCTTCTTTCTTAATTGTATAAGAAAGGACACAGCAGGGGGGAAGCTGCAGAGGCTAAGTGTAGACAGGGGCCTGTCGTTCACTCCCGGAGAGGACAGTTACCCCACTAAGCATAAACCGTGTGTAGGGACTCGACAGCTGGGCTGACAGATAGTGGCTGTCCTGTGAGATAGTGGGAGACAGAGCAAGAGGGCAGGTTGCAAAAGGGGTGCCGACCCCGAGTGTAAGCACCGGGTTCATCTCCAGCAGATTATGGCGTAGACGTACTTCTCAGCCTCCCTGTGATGGCACTGAGAGGCCCTTTCCTTTTCAGATCATTTCATGGCTGTGTGGAAAGAAGCCAGCTAGTGAGGGGCATTACCCAGGCCTTGACTCCCATCTCTCTGCCCCTCTGTCCCTTCTTCGGTAAGACATAATTGCGGATGCTGCTGTTCTTGGGCTCGTTGAGGGGATTACATGTTAAATAAGCAAACTGTGAAAGAAAGAAGCTGGCTCCGAACTGCTGGTTCCTGCCCTTTCCCTTTATGTTTTACCTGCTCAGTGCGAAATTCTTACTTGTCTTTCTTTCTTTCTTTTTTTGGGAGATGTTTTTGCTATAGGGTGCGTGCGCTCGCCAGACAGAGAGAGAGACAGACAGAAAGTGAGAAATCACCCCCCAGGGGGGATGGCCACGCCACGATCCCTTCTCCTCTATTCTCCTCTCGGGATCTTGGGCATGCACGCACACGTGCCCGGCGTGAGTTTAAGCCACCGAGTCCAGGACGTGAACCGCGGTTGACTACGTGGGAATCCAGTGATATAGCCATTACACTAACTGCTGGTCCCTCTTACTTGTATTTCAAGTGAACCTGAAGACACAGACTTTGCAGGTGGGGACCGCGGCGGACCTTGGTGTGTGGTAGCACGAAGCAGAGCTTCACTCGCGGCTTTAAAGTGCTTTGAGCAGAAACGACTCTTCCTTTTTGTGTATAGTTTTTGACGTGTTTCTGTTTTGGTCTGACTAGGAGGAGCCTGATCTGGTTAGTGCAATTTATGGCCGAGGGATAGCCTATGGAAAGAAGGGACTGCATGTGAGTATGCGATAGCTACGCTTGCATAGTGCCACCGCCCCACATGGCCCGCATGCTGCTGGAGCCGCTCACTGTGTCCAGGCCTGGCTGGGCACCCGGCGCTGCCCTTCCAGTTCACGGAGGCGCTGAGTGTGGATGACTTGCCCAAGGTCCAGCGACCCATATGTGGTTGGCTGGGGGCTCCTCCCAGGGCTCCTGACGTAGTTTAGATGAACTGGGCACAGCAGAGACGAGAATGGGCCCGCTCCCCTACAAAGCGTCCACTGGCCAGGCCAGAGGGTAGGCGCCGACAGCGCGGTGGGCCCTAGAGTCCCGCTTCCTCTCACCCCCACTCAAAGCTGAATGAAGAAACCCAAGGTATTTTTTAGCGTGTGAAATTTATGTTTGTTATATTCCACACTTTTCACAGATAGCTATAGTGCCTGTGTTCCTGTTATCAATTGATTGCCCTTATTTCTCTGAGGAAGGTGGGAGGAGGTTATAGAAGGCATATTTAACCCTGCGTACTATGGTGTCAAAGTGGGAACTTTGGAGACGATGCCATCTGTTGTGGAACGGGTTAAGGGTCAGCTCTTCAGAGCCGTGGTCGAGAACAGAGCACACTAACATTTTCTATCTATTGTTCTGGGTTGTCAGGAGAGTCACAACACGGTTTACATAGGAAACAGAAAACTCTGTCATGATTCCCGATGACCTAATACACTAGAAATAGTCACTTAAAATTGTGCTTTCAGGGAGAAATAGTACTTTCATAATTTTTGCAACAAAGTATTAAAGTCGTTAACATTTTTATTACACATTTTTGTTAAAAATGTATTAAAGTTCAAAATATACTAAGCTAGGGCTGACCTGTTGGGGAAATTTTATGTCATATCTGTACATTCCAGTTCACCGAGGACTGAGAACAAATTCTGAGTTGGGGATGATGGTGGGTTTTGGATGGAAACAACACTACATAGCCCCAATAAATGACCAGTGTTAAAATTACCCTAGGACAGGTCAGAGATAAGCTGCTGCATCCTAATTCTCATCTTTAGAAATTTTATATCTCGATGTGAAATTTGCTTGTGCCTTTAAGGAAAAGTTACACATGCATTTTCAATATAAAAGCAACCCACATAATGTTAGAGAACTAACGGGGACTTCTTAGGGTGCGGGGTCCAGGCCCCAGGGTTTTGGTTGACCCTTTCTGACCCCGTGGGCTGTGGCCAGCATCATATCACATGCCCCGCCCCTGCAATGTGGTGATCCTGTGTTTAAATAAGTGAGTGCCGCCTATTCTAGTGACAGGTGGGAGACCCAGCGTGCTCCTGGTGGAGGCAGTTGTGCAGAGTTACATAATTACCATACCGTGACTTTAGGGCACATCCCTTTTGCAGAATCAAGTTCCTATTTATTTCTTAGCTCTTAGTTATATTGTTACTAAATTGTTAGTTTTTCAGAAAATCTCTTCCACCTGGTTTCGAGTAAGTGTGTCTCACGTGAGCTAATGCCTTTTCAAGGACATTAAGAATGCTGAGCTGGCTCTGCTCGAGCTGAGCCGCGTAATTGCCTTGGAACCTGGTCGCCCAGAGGTATTTGAGCAGCGAGCAGAAGTGAGTGTGGTTTTCTTTTTTCCTCTGTCATTATTGCGTAGTTGAATCTCCGCTTTTTCCCCTCCTATTTTGCTATTAGTTAACATTAACACTTCCTTCTACCTATTACGTTTTGCTACCTAGGTGTGTAATGCTTTAAGCATGGTGAAATTCCTAGAACACTATGGCCGGAGAGGAACTTCTCAGTAATGTTTAGTATTAGAACTTGGTTATGTGGATACTATGTCTGTCAACAGTCACTGAAAAATATACTGTACTTGGTATTCACTATATGGTGGCATACCCAGTCAAACTGAAATTTATAGTCCTTGGAAGCATTCATTCCACTGATGTGTGTCTGCGTATGTGTGTGTTTGTGTGTGCACGCACGTGTGTGCTTGTATATCATTCTTGGGAGCTCGAACTGTCTACATCATATGTAGGTCTGGCAGGGCTGATTACACCCAGACCCTAATGGAACTCTGACCCGAGGCAGAGCCAGGGAGCGTGTGGTGCAGGTGCCCGTGGCACTCTCTGGAGTGGGCAGTATGGACAGGGCTTCCCCAGGAGCAGGAGGGCAGGGTCGGCTGTTTCCTGAGGCTGGCCCAGGAGGTGAGATGTGCACACAGTAGATCCCATGGTCAGGGGACGAGGTGGAGGAGGGTGTTCAGAGCAGAGGAGTGAGTGTGTGCAAAGGCTTCTCTTTTAGTGTTTTTATTTATTTATTTAAATTCTTGCTAGAAGAAGAGAGAAATAACCCTTCATGGAGCATGGTCATGCTGCAGTCCCTTCTCTTCCGTTCTCCCTTTCTGTGGGATTTTGGGTGCACACACACATGCCCGGTGTATTTTTTCAAGCTGCCCGGTCCGACTTGAATTATGCAGTTGGCCATGTGGGATCCAGCCTCCTAACCACCCTACCACTAGCCGGCCCCTATTTTAGAGTTTTTAAATGGAACCCTTCACGGAGCATGGTCATGCTGCAGTCCCTTCTCTTCCGTTCTCCCTTTCTGTGGGATTTTGGGTGCACACACACATGCCCGGTGTATTTTTTCAAGCTGCCCGGTCCGACTTGAATTATGCAGTTGGCCATGTGGGATCCAGCCTCCTAACCACCCTACCACTAGCCGGCCCCTATTTTAGAGTTTTTAAATGAGCTATTTTTGTTTTACAGTTTTCTTAAAATAAGAGTAAACCACCCAGCTTTCATGTATGTTAACATATTTAATCATCTGACTTGGTGTGATTTCATAGTTGGACTAAAGACAAAGATTAGATTCTTTTTTATTATTATTTTGGAAGAGAAATCTGGCAAGTAACAGAAGCAGTAAGTGTTTAGTAATTTTAGTAAAAACATTAGTGATATTTTTTTCTTCTCAAAATTATAGTACAATCTCTTTAAGAGAATTTTATATTTTATTGGAGATTTGGTTTTTGAATAAAATCTTTCTTAATTAATGATATAATGTCTTCTATTTTGGATTGAAACCCTAAGGGTTACGTGACTCTGGTTTGTTCGTTACGGCCCAAGAATCAGTGCTATTTAATTGGTGTGTGTTGACTAATTTCTGGGCCAGTTTGGTGATCATCTGCTCCTGGGGGAGATTTTCTCCTGCATTACTCTGGTGTCACCTTACAATGCGACAGAAATCCCGAATTTAGTTACACTCAGATAAGACTCATTGAACAGGTCTTTAAAGTTTGCATACTTAATAAAAAGCTAATTGTCTATCGAAAATTGATTTGGTAATTAGAATGACGGTTTTCAATTATTTTAAAACTTTATGGAGCTAGGCCTTCTCCTGGTATCGCTGGGCAGCAGCACCACGGCCCGGTGATTCCCACTGGTCACAGCATGCTGTTTCTGTCCGTTAGAGGTTACTTTATGAGCACCTTCCACTTTCATAGTTTCTGAAATAGTCCATATTTAACAAACACAATTGAACCTTTTTTCAATTTTTAAAATTTAATTGTACTTATTCATTCATTTATTTTAAGTTGACCAGAGAGAGAGAGAGGGAGAGGGAAAGTGTGAAAGCCAACCACCAGATCTGGGACTCAAACCATGGTCAGCCACATGGGAGCGTCCAGTACCTTAACCACCACGCCACCTGCTGGTCCCCAACTTTTTAAGTTACTCATTGTTACACATACTGATTATTGCACTGAGGCCTGGTAATTTGGCTTTGTGTCTAGGAGTTACTAAACTAGGTAGGGCTCTTTTCCCTTTCAAAATATGACGTGGTCTACTGTGTTTTTTTGAATTCTCATGTAATTACTCCATCTCTTTCCTCTTTATGAGCTGTTGTTTTTTCTAGGGTGGATGGGCCTCTCTGAATCCTCTTTCTTGCAGGTTTTAAGCTCCGTGGTGTAGGAACTCACTTCCTTTCTATAGAAAATCTGAGCTATAAGCCCTAATCGGAGGGGTTTCGGGAGAATGAGTGCTTGGACTTGAGTGCATGAAGACTACCACCCGTTTTGGATTTCTTACACCTGGGTGGCTTACTTTGCATTCTGAACTGTCTTCCGAGTTGTGCTTCTGCCTGAACACAAGAATTGCTGGCTCAGAAATGCTTTTCTTAGCCGGCTTGCAAATATGCTCCCTCCTACCGTGCGGGTCACGACCGATGAGTGAAGAGCTGCCCGCACGAACGGGCTTGGAGAGCCCGGAAATCTCGGACATCGTCACTCAGCCCTTACTGCCGTAGAGGACGGAGCTAAGCGACCCTGGGGGGCTCTGTTGCACGTCCAACAATTCGTCTCTTTTAATGGTTCAAAGTTATATGTATTTATGCCAAATTATGATTCAAAAGATAAAAAATGGTCACATTAAGAAAAGCAGCATCCGTTACAACCCAGAATATGCAACAGTCCTGGGGCCGTTGCTGGGGTCATAGTTCATCAGCTTCTCCCTTGACTGGACAAAGATCTGTGGCCCCTGAGCCTGTAGACGTGGCACCTGACTGTGGTGTGCGGTCACTGGTTCAATGATTGCAGCTGCTGAGAAAGTGGT